AATCCCTGGACCACAACATCAGGCATGTCTGGACTATTAACTGAATATATCCTATCCATCAATTACAATGTACATGTATGTACCTTCATATTACAGTACCTACCAGTGGTCTTACCAGAGGAACTCAAATTACAAAGAATGTATTAGAGGAAATGTGTTTGGAATAAGACCATGAATATTTATCCCAAATCTTACAGATTATGAGATGAGTTTTGATTTTTATGATTTGTTTCTAGTTACTAGAAACATTCATAATTCAGAATTATGTAAACATTCATACATTTGTACATGTAGTATGCAACGTTTCAACTCTGTAATATAAAAAGTATTTTGTAAGTGTTCATTAATATTCCATGCTTCTGTCCATGAATGAGTGCCTTCTCCTACAAAGTACAAGGTTAACAGGAAAATAAGGGTTTTTTTGTACTTTGTACTGAACATTTGACATTTTGCACAACTGCTTTATCCCGTTTTTATGATATTGCTGAAATTCACGTGGTGAGGTTTTTTTGAAAAAAAAATGGACCAAGGTCGGACATCCAACCTGGCCCTTTTGGAGTTAATGTTTTGCATTATCATTTTTATGTACATGTTTAAAAGAGACCATACTTCAACAAAACAGTTTCCATAAAATTAACTTTTGGAAATCAATTTCCTTTCAAAGGAATAAACTAATCTCATAATTATAAGTCGTTAGTGGTTGCTGACCTTAGCACTTGTGGTAAGTTCAAAGCACTTTTGCCAGCTTCTTTAAATCTTAACTCCCTGGCATGATTTACTAGGAACCATACCCATCCTGGCAAATTCCAACACCATATGGGAAACTGCACACACATATTTCTGACTTTGATTCTGGAGGTGTGCCAACCCAATGTAAAAGACTGTCAGTTTAGGGATACTGTACCCATTCTGACAGATTCCAACAAAACATGCTGTTGGGGTTTGATGGGTTGAGTTCTGTTAGGGGTAATTAACATTTCCAGAAAACAGCAATTTTCTTTTTCAAAGGCATTTGAGGCTACATGTGTTTAAGGACCAACTGACATTAAAATGTGCATTCTCCAACAGCTTCTACCCATGGGAAAACCTAAAAAATACTTTTTATTAAAGAAAAGAGTTAAATTGCATAAGCTTTGTCAAAGGGCTGTCAATCAATTTCTGGAAAGCTGATATTTAAATGTTATTTTTAAGGCCAGCTAATTTTGTTTGATATTATCAGAAACAAATTATATTCTATTCCTTGAAGAGGAACCTCTACCATATTTTGAAGAAAACAAATTGGTGGTTACTTATTTAATACAAATTTATGTCACATTTCCTTACAGTGCATGTTTAAAGAAACAATCAACCTCTGGCCAAAAAATGTATGGGAAGGTCTAAAACACTAACAGCCGTTGAATTCAAAGAACCCTTAAATGAATTCCTTGGAGCTTCAGAGAGATATTTCAGTCACATTATGCCACGTTTTCATTCCTTATTATTTAGTTTTAAGAAAGCCTACTCAATATACAAGTACATTACATGATGGATTACAATTCTCAGGTAATTTCATACGAGGATTTAATACAAACAGTCTTTTTCCTTCTTCCTTCTCAAGAAATTGGGGATCTTAAGAAATGTGATGTCTTTTGTTCTGTTTGTCACGGTGCTCTTGCTGAAGCAAGCCAAATCCTGTCTTCTGCCAGCAAAGAAAGAAACTCTGATCAGGCTGCAGGCACCTATTTACAATAGGACAATAGGTTTCCATTCAGCACATTAGCCACTAATTATGGGCCTGCACTTTTTTGGGGATCTTGCTGGTTTTGAAGTTAACAACAAAAAAATCCTTTACACGGACCCACCCCCCCCCCCCCCACGGAAATATTGATTAGCAAAATGTTCATTTTTTGCACAGTCTTTGGGGTTGGATCACTCCACAAATATGTTCACATACATGTACATGTACATGTGCATGCACATGCATTGAAGGAGGACATTGCCTGTACTCTCTTCCAAATCCTGCATTACTCCCCCTCACATACATGTACTTGTATGTAACATTTCTAACAGAAATGCTTTGGATGTTCAGGGTAACAAATACCAACAACTAATCCATCCAGGCTTATTTTCTTCAGGTTAGGTGGTTGGTTCAGATACTTGAACCGTCAATACCTACATGTAGGACAGTTAAGTTTTGTATCATTTGGTTTCTGCAAAATTATGGATTTTAAATTCAAGGATTTTAGCCAACCAGCAAAGTGCCTGGGGGTTACTGCCTCAACAAATAAGGAAATACGCCTACAGGGGTTCTAATATGAAAATAAACGAATATATGCATGTAGATCACAGCAACCATTTAAGCTAAAATGATAAGGTTTTATGTTCTGTTTCTACTGACATGACTGAGTCAGAAAGTGACATCATGTATTTCTCCATTCTTCTACCAAGCATGAGTGTTTCTTGAATATCACTTGAATTATTAGATTCTATCCTCAAATCAAAATAGAACTGTAACATAAAAAGACAAGATTTATCTACCAGAATTCCATCGTGTCCAGGATATTTAACCTCATCTTCCTGTAGTCTCGGATGTTGGGTTTAACCACAGATATGCTACAATGCAACATCCTGCATTCTTAAAAAAAGGACTATCTGTTTATCTATAAAAAAAAACACTGACTAAATGCTCGCACTTGAAGCACATACACATTACCCATGTTAACAGTTAAATTTAATTACACATTTAATTGATAAATTTAAATTCATGAATGCTGATGGTGTTTCTTTGGGAGAGGTTTTTTTTTAAATTTTTCTTTAAGATTAGTTATCTCTTATTGTATCTCATTAAGTGATCATAATTCTCCCCATGACCTCATATGACATCACTGTAACGGACACGTCCAGTGACGCATTAATAGGATCTCTGAGCCGAATTAAATGCGATAAAAGCATCTGCCTGCAGGGGGGACCCACGGAGCTCAATATCCTGTCCAGGTATACATGTACATCATCTTGACGTCCAGGAAAGCACATTGAAAATTGCTGCCAGCATTATCTGCCTTATTCCCTTTGTCCACACACACGTTTTCCCTTTCATCTTATTCAATTATCCTGCCTATTCAAGTGGCAATGATTGCAATTCTAAAATTGATTTAATTCTCTTTAAACAATAAACAACCCCAGAAAACACTTTTGAGTAAGTAGATTTCTTCAAGTACCGGTATTAATACTTGACAATTTTTCTTTCAAAAGCAATCAATTACAAAACCCCCCAAAATATTCTTAAAATTTATAAAATGTTCATCCAGTGTCCAAACATTTTCCCTACTGATATTTGTCCATAAATAATGCTAAGCATGCTGATCAGTATAGGACTAGGAGCTATACTTTTAATTCAAATTAAAAAAACCCTGAACATTATATAAGTGAATTATATTGAAATCTATTCGTTGCAATTTAAAAAATCTACAATAAATATGATTGCTTCTAAATACTGCAACGCCTTGAGCACATTGATATGGATCTTCTATGAAACTGTTCATATCTGTGCCTGCCAATATTAGGACAACAACAAGGCAATCGTGCAGGCACAATGAATAACTCAATCTGCCACTAGCATGCATCAACAAACTAGAGGGGGATAGCAAATGATTTATCAGTGGTTTTAATCAGCAGAGATGAAGTGCCTAGAGAAGTAAGACAATCCACAATCTGACCAACCGCTTCAGTTGGCAGCAATATTTGGTTGAAATAAGGTGATGAAATATCCCTGTCTTGCCTTTCTCTCCAAAGGTCTCGCCAACTTGTCCGTCTTCAGTGTTGGCCTTCAGGCCCAGCTTTTCCACTAAATAGCCCCATTTTTATCGGATTATGATATTAAAGACTTGGAAGGACGGAACTAAGAAATGAATCTCCGGGTCGTGCATTGCATGGGTGTTTACTGTATTGGTGCCAAATCTCCCGCAGGGCTGGTTTTTTCCTCCAACTACTGATGTCATCAATGTTATCTCCAAACCCCATGGGGAGCTTGAGAACTTGTATGGCTACTTGTATTGACAGTAACAGTATCCTTACTGTGCCCCTCAGTAGTCCAACCAGCCTCAGGGTTCCCTGAGCTACATGTATTATGGAAGAGGATGAAGGGATATAGGGTGCTGCAAGATATACATTGTACCTTGGGAATGGGGCATTGCTTGATTGCACTTATTCCATCCCTTTTGTTAGGCAGGTCACAGTTGCTGCTTAAATGTCACAAATTATGTTGATACAACCCAGTATTTTGCCAGCGTTGAAACAGGCTTGTCAGCTGGGCAGTGAATTTGTTCATGGATTGTTTCTCATTTTATCACTCTCCACAAAAGTTGTTTTATTTCATTGGAGATATTAGTTTTGGTGTTAGGCTCAATCACATTGCAATTAAGCATTTTTTTGGGTGACACATTATCAGATCATTTGCATATCAAAACATGTTGGTTTACAGCACATTCTCCGACAGCATATTCTACATAACCATCAGTCAAACCACTGTGATGCATGGTAGAACAGATTTGCTGCAGGTAGATGGGCAGTGTAATATCTCCTTGTCTGTATACATGTACACAAATTCATTATCAAACTGCAGTCTGTGTTAATTTGTGCTAATGCTGAAACTCTTGTGTTGCAGAGTAAGTGAAGTGGTTTGAGTTAAGCTTCCCAATGACTTCCTCATTCAGTTTATCAACTTTTGACACCTCTAGAAACTATTGCCATGTGATATTTGGCATGTGGTCACTATTTTGTCTTCACTAAAAAGAGAGGGAAAAATGAATGATTTGCGCACAAAATGTCTGAATGTATGCAAACCTTCTGAAATACCTGACACAGCAGACATCACTGGTAATGACTCTGAAGCTGAGGGCACCCTTTTCAAAACTTAATCTACAAAGATGCAAAAAGTCACATGCTGTAGCCTTACTTGATAGACAGACATAGACACATACCAATGGCTATCATAGCTATGAAGATTGCCATCAATAACTCACTTGAATTGCATCTTGCCATCAACAAGACCGAGGGAGAAGTAGTCCTTATCAGTACTGTCCTGCTCTCCACAGAATAGAAGCAATCCATCCAGCGTCTCTGGCTTGAAATCCACTCGGACCTGGAATGTCCGATAAAGGCCAAGTGGAGAGGAGAATTCCATGTAGGAATGGCTCTGAAAACTTGGGAACTTGATGGCAACAGCTGCAAGCAAATAACAGTAAGGGTATTTATGTAGTGCATATAAGCATGGTACATGGGTTTACTGTCAACAGTTTTGGAGCAACACCATTAAAACTAATCAAGTGAAAGGTGATGAATATGTTTGTTTATGTTTGTTTGAACTGATTGTCTTCAGGAACATATCGTCTCACAGAGTGGATTTTTCATGTGCCAAGAGGTAGGATAATGCATGAACAGGATGATAGATTCACTGGCGAATGTATACACCCATGGAATCCTTTCACAAGAACCCCTCTGGTTCTGGTTAAGCAAGTAGGTATGTTTGTGGGTAATTGCAAGTGTTCCTATTGCCTTTAATGTCAAAGTGCGCCAATTTGGCCTAAAATTAACCTTACCGGTACCAGCCCCTTCAAATGAAGGTGGGTTGTTAGTCCTAGTAAGAATACAGGGCTGGAAAGCTCAATTAGTAGAGGACCGGAATGGCAATCTGGAGGTCACAGGTTCAAACCCTGCTTCAGTCAATTTCTTTGTTCAATTTTAAGACATGATATTGCATCTAGTCAGCTTCCATTTATGGTTTATCAAAATTAAAAAAAAAATATAAAAAGAAATGTGTTTTAACTTTGAGATCTGCACTGAAAAGAAAAAAACGACCCCAACGTTTCAAAACAGAGCAATGAGGCTTACGATACATGTAAACATGTACATACATGGACATGTACCAATGTTTCACATCCAAAGACTTAGAGCCAGACAAAGATGTTTAACTGTGGGGAGAAGTACCCAATGGACTTGATGGAATGCCCCCATAGCAATAAATACAATCCTATTCAACCAAGACCTACTTCTCAACAATGAGAACCAAATATCGTGCAGAATGTCAACCAGCTTCAGCAAATAGCACCTAAATAATAGAGGAGTCTGATACAATGGGAATTGAACAAGTAGTGAGAGTTGTTGGGGCCATGGGTGTTGTGACACACCATTCCCTGGGTGGCTGAATAGAATCAGGTACAATGGATAGTTTTCTCCCTAGACACAGCCAGCTTGGCAGGCTGACACTAATCCCTATGCCTTTTCACCCTGTCCAAACACACAAGTCCTGAAAAAGAATAATGATGTACACAGGTGAATGCTTGGATTGACTGGCAGAATGGTACATGTAGCTGAATAGCAAAGTTCATGTTATTCAATGGGCTGTGCGTTTAAATAAAACCTTGTACATGTACCTGTTTCATGCATGTTTTGACTTGGCTTTTTTTCTTCTTCAAATAATCCCAACAGTAGGCCTAAGTAGTTATTTTTTCCCCTCCACATTTGAACAGTGATGGCCTTACTGGTACACGTAGTAATAATTGTGTGACAATGCATAGATCTACATTCTTGTTTGATTTCAAAGTTCAATACACGTACATGAATACTTATATTATGCAAATGATGTTTATTGAAGTTGTTCTGTCAAAACTGGCTTGTTATTTTACATTTGTCAAACATAGAATAGTTTTAAATAGAATGTATTAGGGGGCGTGCATGTTTACACTGACAATGTACACACATCAAAGATGCCTATAATCTCCGATGACTTACTCTCATGCCTTTCCGCACAATAATCTGTCAGGGCAATCATGTGGGCATCTCTTTGTGAAAATGGCATTTTTGAGGAATCTGCCCTTGCATCAACGCATCATCCATGTCATGTTCTACCTTCTTCATGTTTTTTGACCAAACATTATTTGTTGCTTTTCAAAAGAAAAGAAAACATCTTTCCTTCTTTTCAGCAAGTCTTTTCGTTTTTACAATGTACATGCTTGTAGCCATCAAACGTTATAGTGGTCTTCTGGACTTGTTTTGGGCAAAATCCCTACATGAATTCCAAACGAAAGCACAGAATGGATAGCATTTAATAGATTTTTGAATGGTTTTTGTAGGACTTTTAGACAACCATTTAACTACCGGTATAGTAAGTTTTGTTGACCACTGTATAGATGTAAAGTGATTGTATGCAAATGATATCTCTAATGTACAGTGTATAGGTATAAAGCAACATGCAGTTTGGCCCACGGATACCCAAGATACAGCCTCATATGGGTGGAAGACGGAGCTGATTGGGTACAAGGATTCAGCTAAAGGTTTGCCCCAAGAATTAGTGAGGACAATACACAGAACCACCATGGTCTTCTCAATAATTCTGGGCACTTGTTTACCTTTCGTCTGTGAAATTTTCACTGTACTTGATTGGCTAGTTATAAAAACTGAAGTACTTTTTGCAAATGTCACCTTATATTTTGATTGGTGTTTCACAGAAAATAGATGCCCATATTAACCAACTGTGCTTTAATTAAATGACACATTGGGAAAAGCATCTGTGAGTTGTGGTGCGATGCTTCGTATGATTTCCAATGATAATGTACAAGAATCTGTATTACTCAATCCTCAGTTTGTGGCTCAAACCACTGGGTTAAGGCCAAAAAAAAACCCAAACAATAGTTCTGCTCTGGTTACCCTACCTACCCTATTTTCACAGCCCCTACCCTAATTTATTTTTGGGAAAAATGAGGAAAAAACCCCGAAAATTATCAATTACTACCGGTACCTTTTACCCTTGACTTCATGCAGAGAGGAAAATTTCTCTTTATCAATATAATGACCACGATATTATATTTGCACACGATAGAGGAGACATGTTTTGCATAAAACCACACATTTATTCTAAGTGTCTCCAAGTAGTACTGAGATATTTAACAAAAACTTAAAAATCGGGCGTTTTTACCCCAGTTTGTAAACCCTAAATCCATTAAAACCACATGTACATGTATGTTCTGTTCCTCGAACAGACGTAGCTCTAGTTTTCTTTCTTTTTCTTGTCCTTCTCATTTACATTTCCTTTTTGTAGGTTTTCTTCTTTTCCTATTTTCTTTTTCGTTTCAGACGGGGAGGGTGGGGGGAGGGGGAATGTTACAGAATTTGCTTGTATGATCCATTTCAGGTTTCCCTTGTACCGGTACATCATAGAGCAAGGACCCAAGGAGTCAGAACTCTTGGGCGATTTACATTTTGACCATTTACATACCAATCCCTCGGGAATGTCAATAGCTAAAGCACTGTGACCGCAAGCCTCGACCATTCAAAGCGTGAATGCCAGCGGCCTTTGAACACGATGATCGTCGCCGCCTTTTTAGTTGGTAACCAACAACCTCCCTATATGCTGCATAATAAGTCATGTCACGTCGCTGCTCTTTTTTTAAAAATATATTTTACGACAAGATAGGTTTTTACAACTGCGCAGTTGTTAGATGTGAGTTATGAACTCAAGTTAGCAATGTGCAGTTATTGGTGCTTAAAAGCGTTATCTGTCCCTGTAATTTGGAGATAAATTGAGTTTCTTTCAGATAAGTTTTCATGTATTTTCAGACATTTTAATTGGCAATATATCATTAATGAAATGTGTTTTTTTGGAAAATTTCACAAGTTTTCAAACTAAAGGTACAGAGCATTTTGTTCTTCATAAAAAGTTGGTCCAGTGATGTTGACCACATTTATATACAGTATCATCCAACTCCGAACAAACACTTCAAAATCATTCATTTTTAGCGATGTATGACAACTGCGCATGCGTATTTACCATGGTACTGTCTACGAAGCCATGCAAACTCCTTTTCTGGCATTAGTGAGCGTGGATCTCTATTGTGTCAAGATTAGCGTAGTGAGCAACTGAGCAAGCTGGCTGCCAGGTGCTTTCTATTGTTGCTTTCCAGTGCGGCGACCATCATTTTACTTTTGAAGTCTTGGAGTACGAACTCCTTGGGTCCTTGCTCTATGGGTACATCAAGGTCTCTTATGATCCTTGTACTTACTTTGCTTACACATCTCTCCTTCATATCCATGTGGACAGTGGCATGATGCTCTACTTGTTTCACCGTTGATATAACATGTGCCGGCATTTTGACATTCAAATCCTTCACATGTAGTAGGTGGTATCACCACACTTTCTGCACACCTATCTCCTTTGAATCCTTCTGTGCATCTGCACATTGCTTTGTCCATCACCACATCCACGTAACATGTTCCTCCATTCTGACATTCAAAGTCTTGACAGAGGACCATGGGACTAGGCACATGTATCTCTTCACCACTTCCTGTTTCTTGTTCTCCGTCTTCATCTGTTCCACTCCCACTTCCCTCCATCTCCTGTCCTCCACTGCCCTGCTGATCCTTAGCTTTGTCAACTGTCTCTTCCGACACAGTTACTACTGCCTCTGTGGGGCTTGTCTCTGCATCAATGTCGATGGTTTCATCTGTAAATTGGATTTGGAAAAAAACACAAGCAATTAGTAATTATGTAATGTACAAGTATTGATACATGTAGGTTCAAGTAAAACTTAAAAGTATCTTCCGACTCAATAGATAAGTATTTACTTAGAAACTTTGGCTGAATGTCTTTTTTTTGGGGGGGGGGGGAGGGGCAAAAGGAAAATCACAAGCTGATCTCCTAATCCAGTTCTTGGACATTGACTTGTATTCCAGTATCATGTGTTCCTATATTTCTGTACCTTTTGGAAAGAATGAACAGAAAGGGAGGCTGTTGAGACAAAATAAAAAGGATGCTGTTATGATACAACCCACTGCATTCCCTTCACCACCTGTTAACAGCACTGTGCGGCCTAATACAAGAAATTCAGGGGTGAGCATTTAGATTTGTTGGTTGGTGAGTGGTAATCACATTGTGTGTCTATAGTATTAGGAATGACTTGTAACTGCCAAGCAATAAACATTATATTCTGTGAGTACTGAATATTTTACAGGGAAATACACACTGGGTAAAATGTATCTTGGCAGTGAAGAAGTCAATATTTGACACAACAGTAAAATTTAATAATAGTAACATGAACATTTATTTTATATTGCACTTTTAATTAACCAGTCAGTGCATCATTCCAAATGACTTTCATTATCCCAGAAGAGTTACAGCAGTTCCATGTTTCATGTAGCATGTGAATAACTGGATTAATTCACAAGTCTTACTAACAAAGATTCCACGAATATGGGCTGAAAAATCAAGTATACATGTAGTAAAGCATCTCACCGAACTGCAACACAAGATTGCAATTAGGTTCCTGAGCCCAAGATAACAGCATTTTCTTTGGTAAACTACTTTTTAAGAGATTTATGGGGCATACACTAATTGTAATGGAATGCGGGAATTAAACAACTTTAGGAGTAGCTTCAAATGACAACCTTCTGATGCTAATGAATAGAGGCAAGGAGTGATAAGGGTACACAGACTTGCCATTTTATCCTTTGCTGGGTGTGAAATGACAACCAAGAGTTGTCCTTAGCAAAGTAAAGCAAACAGGCCAGGATAACCTTGCCCAGGCTATGCACTCAACATGAGCAATATCTTAAGACTGCTTGGTATGACTGGAATGCTGGCACTGGTTGAAGTCAACAAGGTGACTGGAGCCCAAAGGAGACCCAGCCAGTAGGGGAAGGGATGATGATAAAGATATCATCATGTGGCCTGATATCAGGTCATGACCTGGCTTGGAGGACAAGTGGAACCATGGTGGTATGGAGCCAATTAGTCAGACCATGGCTGGCTACTTCTCACTATGCTGCTATTAGTCTAATCGGTTTGGCATTTGAGACTGCATAATTACATGTATGTACATGTAGCTTATTATCAACAGAGAAAATGCATGTAAATGTACAAAATCAATCCTGGAGTATTCTACAGTACATGACTGTCAAGCCTAATTGTAAATGTAGCAAATGTCTTAAGTTTAAGCCATACATGCTTTGTAGTTCAAACGATTGTTACATGAGGGACAGGGCAACAATGAGACCCAATCATCAACTAGTCACACACACATAACACTTGGAAGAGAAGCGCAACTGGTATTAGATTTCAGGGTGTTCAGTGATGCCTATGGGAGTTTTCCTCCTATACAGCTGAAAGATTAAACCTACAGATTCCTGACACAATGGCAGGTTCAAAGGATTATTTCTGGGACGTTGGGCCTTTCCCCAGCAAGTTTACTGACTAAAGCCCTTGCGAATAAATCTTGCAACTGTTCACACTTACACTTTTGAGCTTCTAGAGATATTACAGAAATGACAGCTAAATTGTGCAAGTGGCAAGGGTACTTCATGAAAATTGAAGATCTCTGTTCCGTTTCAAAATATTTAGTTACAAGTTTCTTTTGTCTTAAACTATTTTTTTTCATGCAACTATATCGGTAAATGATTACTAAAATGGTAAGACTATGCTTACAATTACATGCTACATTTTTTGTTTTATACTGTACATGAATATAAAATCATCACATAACATGGAGACTAAAAGAGACCATATCCTTGCAATGTCCAATGTGCACACAGTGATAGTTTTCTGATGACAGCAATGTGTATGCATTCATGATTTTTACAATACAAGCTTTCAACAACTCTTCCCATAATTTGAACATGAGTTTCACGATTTTGGTTTCCAAAATTTGAATGACAGAAGCTGAAGTCTCAGACTACAGTTGACATTAGTCCAAGTCAATACTGTCTTGTTTATTTTCCACACTGTTTGCTCTAGTTGTCCTGGAACTTGACAAGTGACTGGAGTTGACACTGTGATTACAGTAAGAGCACCCTGATAAGGGATAACCATATCTACCCCAGAATAATTCCCATGGGTTGACTGAGGATGTTATGTCAACAATCAAAGTTTACAACTCATTACTGTAATCAATCACTCACTTGCTAGAAAGGATACCCTAGAAACTCTGTGTGTACATTTGAACTTAGTTAGTAGAAACATTTATTTCAATGTTGCCATTTCCACACAATAAAATGTTACAATGCCGTGTAAACATATTATACACAGAGCAAAATGCAATGAATTATGTAATTGTGTATAATAATGTACATGGATGACTAGAACAAATTTACGACAACATTTAGGTATAAGGTGAAGGTCACGCTTTTGTACCCTAACCTATCGACAGACAAGTGGACATGACCGAGAAAAACAGAGACAGTGAGAAAGGACAAAATGGACAACAGTGAGACACACAAAGACACAACCTAGAAAAAAACAAACTGGTATGAGACAAGGGTTTTGACCAGATATAGCCTTGGTCAAGGCGCTAGTTGTTATTCATCCGGCCGTAGCGCGGTAAACGATATCTTCGCTAGCGCTATGCATGCAGTCATCTGTCTATGCATGCAGTGCATTAAAAATACAGCGCGAACAGCGACCTCACCCGGCCACTATTTTTATGCAAATCAGTTGGACCCAATCTAGCGCCTTGGTTCAATTGTCCATGTGAAGTTTTGGGGGTGGTGCTCATTATGTTAATAGCCTTAGCTGACCTTAAATGTCGTTTTCTTATTGGTCGATCGTTGCGTGGAAACTTACATAGTGAAACGTGCACCGTACATAATCCATACAAGTACACGTTGTGTGTCTCTGCACACGGCACCAATGCACAAAAACTGTGGTTCCTGTCACGTCCGCAAAAGGCGAATAGCTGCAAATAATTTGATGACGTCTGGATTTACCAAGGTGTGATTGGACACTCCACATATTAGCCCCGCCTACACTTATCTGTATTCGCATACGAGGTCGTGCGCTAGAAATCCAGCCGACGATTGAACCAAGGCGCTAGATTGGGTCCAACTGATTTGCATAGAAATGGTGGCCGCGTGAGGTCGCTGTTCGCACTGTATTTTTAATGCACCGCATGCATAGCGCTAGCGAGGATATCGTTTACCGCGCTACGGCTGGGATGAATAACAACTAGCGCCTTGACCAAGGCTAGACCAGATATTACATTTCCTTGAATTTCAGAAATCTTTGTCTCATTGATTTGATATATTGAAAGACCTTGGTATTAGAGATAAGTAATTACCAGCATTGCACCTGTTTCAGATTGGCATTCCATAGTCATGCTGAGAAAATCGTAAAAGGAGCGACTCACATCAACTTAAATAGATTTTGTTTCAGACAGGTAAACTTGATGAATTATTTGTGTCCATTGACCTGACTGTGGAGTCACTCTGAATGATTGCGACCGTCGATATTTCAATATACGTGTAGTCTCTTTAACTGTTTCAAACATCAAACTGTCATGTACTCAATTCAAATATTTCAAATACAGTGTACTCTGTTTCGGCATAACTTTGGAATGTTAGACCAAACGGATGTTTGAAAGAAAGATACTGACAGAGGAGAAAGATACATGACAGAGTTGACTTAAAATGTGTGCCCCTTGACAAACATTTATAATGTTCAATACTGTGGGCTATACAAACAGTAAAATGTACATGGTGCTTGGCTTACTTGTTTGTTTGTTCTGGACAATATTTAATTCTGCACAGCTCCCCTTAGAAACAAATCCCATACCTGTCAAGTACTTCCCCCAGGAGTACACTTAACTATGCAAGCACCTGCTTGTTCCTAGTCTTCATTAACCTGCATTTAATGGGCCCCTCACAGCAGCCCAATCATTCAATTGTACTAGATTATTTATACAGTTGCTATATTGTGCACCTGCTATACATACAAGAATGTTGGGTGCTTTGGAAGGTTTCTTGTACTCAAGTATACATCTTTCGGTACTCAAATTTATAACATACACATGCAATGTACTCAACTACTGGTACAAGCAAAGACTTGAAGAATGTTAACTTGTATTCAAACTTCTACTTGAATACTCATCAATTTGTAATCACGAGAAAGTACTACTGAACGTAGCACACTTTGGACGTCTACTTTTTGTAAATATTTTATGTCTAATAACTGTCATGGCACTTGAGTAAAGTGTCATACACATGGACACAAACACCCTCGTCAATTAGTCATAATCCAATTGAGACTTGATTTTGGGTTCTGTTCCCCTGAAGCAGCCAGCCCTCCCTGGCAAGTGCAGCCAAGCTGCAGTGACCAGTTAGGTTTAATGATACATGCATATTAAAGGCATGCTTGCAATTTCTCGGGTCCGAATCCCGAGTGACTTGATTTGATGTTCTTGTTGGTAGCGCCCTCTACTGGAATGGACTAGGGTACATAATCTAAACGAAACGAGATTATGAACAGCAGGTTCCTTGATCTTACCCCTGATTACTGTAAATGTACATTTACAATTACTATGTACCCTCAAAGATCTCAATCTACACTGGATCTTTTGGAAATAGTCTTTACATAACTGAACCTTTTTTCTACCTCAGCATTCCCCAACACACACACACACACCAGTAGTGTGTATTTGCCTGCAATCGGGGACCCCCTATTGTTTGTACTTCAAATTTTTAGGAAGACCTCCCATACCGGTATGTTTTGTACATGATTGCCAAATTGGGGACCTTCGGGAATTGGGGACCCTATTGTCCTCTTTTGTTCAACGTCCCCTATTGAATGCAGAAACAAACTTACATACACACACACATTTGTTTATGGTGTAAATTGAGGATTTTCAATTGTTCATCTTCCCTTTTCCTTTGTTTATACTCTTAACTTTTTTGCAACAGCTCTCATTGGTTTTGAACATGTTTCGACCTCGATTTGGTTCTTGTTCTCAATTCGTCGATGATGTTGCACGTGTGTATCCTCGATTTACACCATAAACACGCACACCCACACTTTTACAGTAATCACCTGCATGATTCAACACATTTTGCATTCATACTCAATATCTGCCCTTCAAGATCCAAAGCATGACAAAGGGAATTTAAAGGTTATCCACATTTTCTGTGGGGAGGTCGAAGATAAAACTTGTGCAAACTCCCCATCATGTCATGTACATGTACATGTATTATTCAACTGAAGAATTTATCTGGGGAAAAACTTTGCAAAATCAAATATTGGACTGCAAAAAATACATGTCTAGGTTGCTACCGGTATTTAGGCCACAACACTCAAGGGCTGTGGGCTACGGTAAAAATGGGGGTTCACTATATATCAAAATATTGTTTATTTATAAGGCTGTGCTGGGAACATGGATGTTGTTTTATTACTGCTGCCATACACTACATGTACTGGTAGTTAGTTATGGGATAACCTGAGGGCTCTGGGTTGTACCAACAAAGGTTTCACCAAAGCTTTGTGTTCAGTCAAGCTTGTCTGTTGGCCAATTAGTGTCAATAGTCAGCCCTGTAGTTGAGAACTTTTCTTGGTGCCTGTTGTGTGAATATTCTAAAGGCACTCCTTTCTCTAAGAGGCAAAAATGAAAGGGAAAAAAATGGAGAAAAGAAAAAGGCCCTTCTAAAAATGAAAAAAAAGAGTACATGTAGGCCTACTGACTCAAATCAATAGCCCAAACTTTCCAAAATTATACATGAGTGAAAACACAATTTCACATAATTCTTGGGCCAACATATGAAGCTCATTTTGTGTACCCAGCCCTGTAAGGTGTTATTTAATGTCTTGTCTTTAAACACCTGCATTCTGTTAAGGCAGTTTCTATTTCTCCTTTTTTTGGGGGGGGGGGGGGTACAACTAATTTGAGGAAGATTACTCATTTTAAACCCCTGTCCCACAGTGCTGTTCTCTAGCCCCGTGCGTGATATGGATCCCAGACCATAATCCATGCGTGCCCCGTCCTCACCCCGTCCTCATCCAGTCCAAGTTGTTCTCAGGCAGTTCTATTCAAGGCAAATGTGGCTCACACTCCCGTCCCCACCCTGTCCTCATCCCATCCAAGCCGTTGGTGTCAAGTCAATCATGTGCTTACCCTGTGCTAGCAACGAGCGGAGGTTTGGGTAGGCACTGTGTAAGCACGGTATAGACATGAGACTCGTGAGTGAAAGACAGTACCGATGCAGGTCCGTGCATGCAGTTCTCACAATGATGCTCCGGACTACCTTCCCGTCGACACCAAGTCCAGGCCGTTCGAGTGAAGTCCACGCCCGACCTTGCAGCGTTCTTGCCCCATTGTAAATAGGACAGGAGAGTCTGCCGTTGGTTTTGAACATGCTCAAAACAGTCAGGGCACTTTGCTGTTCTGTCAGGACCTTCCAGTGTCTATCACGACCTATGCAGTTCCCCGCTAGTCCCCAACACGAGCTCCCCATTCAGAGCAGTTGCCGTCAAGTGCTTGTCCAGTTCTGCCAGCTTCTATGGTTGTGACACCATCAGGATGCCAGAACGGCACGTGTAACAAAGGCTTTAAACTAGGTGTAACATTTTTGCTATCATTTGCTGAAATTTGAGAAATACCAAGGGAAAATGTAGTTCACAAAAAAGCAAGAGGCTTTTGAAAAGCAGCTTTTCTTTTGATCTTATGTACTTTTACAAATTTTATTTAGTCTAAATTTCTTTTTGGGAGGGGCTAAGTAAGAAAATAGAATGTAAACCCCTAAGACTTACAATGTTGTAACAGTCCGTTTCAATTTTTTTATTTTTTTTTTTATTTGATGTGTCCTTTCCTTTCCACCTTACAAGTAAAAGTTCCTTATATCTTTTCTTTTCCAGTGTGAATATTCAATAGCTACATGTATGTGCATTCTTAGACATTCTTCAGTTGGGTGTAGTTCTTTGGTGTTTGATTAGTTGGGTGTGTATGTGTGTGGGTGAGTATATAAGTGTATGGTCAGTGTGACTGCAGCCCACTCTATCACATATGAGAACTCTATAGACGCCAAGACAAATCTCCTGCTGCCTGCTGCCAAACCTTTTCCTGAGCAGAGTATTCAGACTCTGGTGCAAAGCAATTTTTATTAGCAGAGCCAAGCCGTGTGCTGCAGCATTGCCATATAGCTGTTAGCTGGGGCATTTTTGCTACACTCTCTGCTGGTGAGCCAGAAAACCAGATACGGGGAACCTCGCTGCAAAACCGTGAGTTAGATTAATTAATTTTTTCCTCTAATTTTATCCGAAGTGGTTTAATTTCTTGAAATATGTTTATTTGTTCGAAGGATTATTTTGCCTACAAAATATAGTGACTGCTTAAACTTGCATGACCTGTGTACATTATTTATGTTGAAGATTTTGGATTATTATTATTGGGGATCGGTTATTTTAATTTGACTTTTCCAGAAAGTATTACTGGGGATTTCAGCCAGCTGAGGAACTTCTTCTTTGTCACCCATATAATGGTCTGAGAGTCTGACGTTGCAATGGGACGGTCACGTTACTACTGTGCTAGCTCTACCTGTGTCAAGACCTGACCCTGGTACTACACCAAGATCCAGACCAAGTCTGAGGAGACCCTATTGACGGCTCGGTGGAACACCATAACTGTAATTAATACTGGGTGAACTTTACAGATTTTACAGCGTGTATAGCCGTTGATAATTTTCATATATTGTATATCGTCAACATTTATTCTGTGTGTAATTTGTGCCACCAAAACCGTGAAACTCAAATAATAGCAAGTATAAAAAAGTGTTTGTTTTTTGGTGAAAGACACTTCAGAATAAGTAAACCGTTCAGTGTTAATTTGATTTACAACGTACAAGAAAATGCAGAAGTGATCCCACTGGTGTAGCAACTAAGATTTCAGTTAAAGTCAACAGAAGTGTAAATTAGTAGTGCAGTACAAAAACCTAGTGTAATTAAGTTAGTGTATTAGTGCACATAAGTGCACTGTGTTTCAAGTATTCGACTTGAAAGATAATCTTGTTAATTCAAGTGAAGTGTAATACCGTTTTTGAAACGGAAGTGTAGTAAGGTTTTTGTAACAGAAGAAGCTTAAGGATTCAAGTTTGAAAACAGTGGTTCAATCAGAGATTTATTTATTAATTTAATTCCGTGGTCATAGTCCCAGAAGTGTACATTTTAATCAATATAGTTGTGTCGTCCTTCAGTGAATGTTTTTAATATTAAAGTTTTTGTAAATAATTGTCACTGAAAGAAAATTCTCCGTGTTGATTTATTTGCGTTGACAACAGTCTGACAAATGTGTTGATGCCTAAGGACTGGGGGGAAAAAATCAGATACATATTCCAGAATAGAAAGCTTTTCTGATGTTGCTACCTTACCTTCCTCACTGATACACAGAAAGCCATTAGCAGCCAGTATGTGACCAGATTCACATTCACATTTGACCCGTCCCATGCCTGGTACATTCTTGCATATTTGAGCACAGGGGTGGGACATTCCACATTGACCTGAAAAAAGAAAACAGGAATAAGAACCAACAATTTGATCAACAAATTGAGAAAGAACAATGGTCTGAGCTTTATCGTGTGAGCTTTTTAAAAAGTGATATCTTTTTGATTCTGAAGACAAATAACTTATAGTTTAAAATTATTTAAGATTTCGTTTTCAGTTGTAGAAAACATGATTATTGATTAACTAATCAAGAGAATGGGCATAAAGAAACTGCCTTAAAGGAGCACTTTCGAACAAATTGCAGCATTTTTGACTCTAAAATGCATTTCCATTATAAGTAGTTGGGAAGATCATTAAAATACGAACATAAATGTGCACACAACTGTACTAAGTTGAAAATTTGTGTTTTTTTGTGTACAATTATCACACAAAGGAAATTACGGATACAAAGTTTGTTCCTTTTGGTAGTACTTCTGCATGATCACATGTAAACATAACTCTGTTTTTTGTGGTTTTTTTTTTTACATTTTGGAGTACTTCAATGTAGAAGTGTGTTTACTGCTCATAGGTGCACATATAAATGTGTGTTGTCTGTCATTACTCAGCACTCTGTTGTTTAGTAACACTGTTGAGAAATATTAACCAGATGGGGTGACTTTCAACTATTCCAATGGATAACACTTTTACTGCAAATGGCGACAAGACTAAACATACATTGTAAACACAGACCCAAGGCAGTGATAAAAAGAAGATCAATAAAAAAGAAAAAACCAAAAAAAAACAACACTAGCAATGACTTATCCTGAACTTATTTCTTTCCTTGACATGGGGGGGGGGGGGTCAAATGACCGGCAAAGAAAAATGTAACCTAAAAGGGTTATGCAAAATGTAGACAATTACAAATTTGGCTCAGCTTTTCTCCAACAATTTAGCAATGTAATTTAACTACATGTAAAACACATTTAGTAATTTTAATGCGGAGAACACTGGCAGTCGACCAGAGATGTATCGCGGGAGGGGGGGGGGGGGTGCCTGGAGGGGTACGTGGCCCCTACAAATTTCCAGTGCCCCACCACAAAAAAAATACATTTGCCCCTTGCCCAAGAAGTGCCTTTTTAAATGTAAATTAACCAAAAGAGGAATGTAGACGAATAGTTTTTAATTTGATGCTAATTCCCTTCACCTTACGGATAAATTATGAAATAATTACAAAATAAAGAGACAAGAAAAAGTGAAAACAGCATCCCCTAGCATCAAATGAGGTCCATTAAAACTACATGTAACACTACATTTCAATTAAAATCAAGAGTGACTATGGAGGCACCTATTCCATGAGTTGTTGTTTTTTCATCTTGACATTATTTGAGAAAGTGTACATTGATTTGTCTAGTGGACAAATACTTTTTTGTCTGCAAAACAAGGATAATGACACTCAACAGATTTGTACATCAGTAGTGAGTAAATAATGATTTGCCATTTCAACCCCCATTTCCTACCAGTACATGTACTTTCTGTGATAAGAACATCAAAACCTGTCACTCCTAAGTGGCTGGCCAATCTAATACAAAGTGTAAATGTTAAGGGGAGGATGAGTCAATATGTATGCAGCGTCAATCAAATCAGTATCGCAAGGAGTCATCTCCATGTGTACCCACTGACTGCAAGCTCTCATGCGTAATATGTACACACAGCATCAAAACGCAGGTACACTGATTAAAATGTCATGTGAATGAAGATTGGCCCAAAGTAGTGTTCACAACGTACATACCGTAGGTGATGTCTTCGTGCTTTTATTGGTTAACATTCTGCAAGCTGATGACAACATTGCTTTGTAGAAAAACTATAGAAAATGTCTTTTCTCTAGGGACAAGTAAAATACGCAGGGTAATACAAAGGGTTTGAAAGTATGAGTCAGAATAAATTCTAAAATGTACTAGTGTTGTTATAGTAATACCTGCATTTAAATGAAGATATTCATGTAATATTTCACTATCAATCTTGTGATCACTGAAAAGTATGTCCATGTAGCATATTCTGCATAAACATACACTGTAAATTAATAGAACATACATGTACGGTATGTATCAATAATTCAACCAAAGCATCATTTGAAAATCTAATGGGTTAACAAAATCTAAAGTTACATGTAGAACATGTTGGTGTTTTTTCCTACTGCCAACATATATGATGGGCTTGTTAAAGGTTAGGTTAAAAAATGTCAAAAACGCATTTTCACTTGATGTCTGTGGCAAAGTTTGCGATAATCGCTTCAAAATTTATGTACATGATGACCATAATGCAGACAACATCTGTGCGCGAAAAAAATTGATTAAGTCATCAGACCGGAAGTTACAATAAAAAGACCTTTAAACCTTAAAAAATTGCTAGAAAATATACCGTGATACATGTAGATGTAATCAAGTTAAAACAGCTCTTGAACTTTCTGGTAATGACGTCACAATGATGTCATCAAGTATCATATTACAAGCAATCAAAGATTTCTTGATATAATCTTTGAAAATCAATTTAAAATCAACCGCTACAGATTTGATTTGGTTTTTTATAGCAATCGATACAATATTGCAGGGTCTTCATTTTTGATTTTAAGTGCAAAATCACGTGACCCTTCCTTCCAGTCGAAACCGGAAGTGCCTTATTATTTGAAATTGGCAGAAGATGCGAACTTGCTTTCAACGATGTGAGTGTCTGCCTAGGCAGTACTGTACACAAATTTTACAGGTGACGTCATCAAATGTTAGAGCGCCCTCTGGCGACATGTTGAAAAATTCAAACATGGATTTAAAAATGCATATTTTGAGTTGATGTGTGTGGCAAAGTCTGCAGTAATCCATGGCCCAACACCGTGTGGTTATTCCTACAACCTCTACCGGTAGTTAATGTTGGATCTGGATATAAACAACACGTACCGGTACATGTACACGTATGTACAGTACTATAATTTTCGACATTTCAATGCAACACAAAGTCTAGATGAAAAGTGCAACAAAACAGATATTGTTAAAACAGTGAGTTACCACCCTTTTTGTGTATAAACAGTGAACAGTAGAAAAATATTATTGCACATGCCTTGAATGTTATGACAGATCTGGTTGGTTGGCAATCTTTGTACCTACATGTGCCCACCTGTTGCCCTAGATCTTATCCGCACTCTCAATAATCCGCACACTGAATACATGTAACAAGTACCATGCATGGGTGTCACCAGCATTTTTTCCTACAGGGGGCAAAGCACTCACCTACCTTGGGGTGCCAGCCATCATTTGAGAGTGTAATATTGACTAACACCATCTTCTTTTCCTTTTCTCCTTTTTCCATTTCCTTTTTGTTGTTGGGTGGGGGGGGGGGTTGTAGGGGGAGTGTTCTTTGACAATTAAGTAGGTGCATTAAATGCATACACAGTTGTTTTAACTATGGTTACATTGACTGCAGCAAAGCTATGTTAACATTTCAAACCATACTGGCACTGAATCTGACAAGATCCAATGAAGCTTTCTCTTATTTATGAAATTCTCATATTGTTGGATCAGGGCACTCTTCACACTTGCAAACTTGTTGGGAGATATTTTTTTTTGGGGGGGGGTATACATTTGTATGTTTTCCACTACCGGTCAGTTAGATTTTCCTTAACATTTTGTCAAGTTGAGTCTGTCTGGTTTGGATTATTGTAGGTCTGATCCATGTGAGTTCGGATTTGGTTTGTATCTGTTATGCTTGGATCAGTTTGGGCATTGTCAACTGGACCTGATGCAGAAGTTTACAGTGTACTTGTACAATCTGAATTCTGAATACTATGAGGGAGTTCCTTATGATTGTTGGAGCAATGGTGCAGTTTGGATTTTTTTCCAGTTGAAATTACTACAGGGGATCCCAGAATCGATCTCATAAGAGGAGGGAGTGGCCTCCATTCACTTGTTTGTCATTGATTATTTGTTGCAATATTGCTATTCAGTGGGAGGGCAGAGCACACTTGGGTACAAGTACTTCATGGGGGGAGGGCATCAATATGCTACAATGTGTCTGTATGATTTTGAAATTGAATAAAAAAATTGTAATAGAGGCAGAAAACAGGTAAAAAAAAAATATCCCACAAAGATATAAAAACGGGGGTTGCAAAATCTGGTACTGCTCGAGACGTTCAAGTTCAAAATAAGGTAGGAAAGGAAAGAAAAGAAAAGAGAGACCCAAAATTTGAAAACCCTTTGACAAAATTGATGGTTTCAGGTAACTTGGAAAATGAAAAGGTAATGCAAACAAATAACGCTTGATGGCCCATTCAAGAGTTTCTCTCCCTGCCAATTTCCCACGAACCTAATGACATGACTTCTGCATTTGAACCCAGCCAGTATTTACAAATTCATTCAAGGAGTGAAGCCGACTAGAAATTGAGTGAGTGCTGTTGGCATCCCCTCTGACAAGCTAGTCTGCACCAATGGAGAGAGGAACTGTGGTTGCCACATCAAAATATCAACATTTCAGGAGAGATTAATGCCCCTTTGCCCCACAATTTTGACAACAAAGGAATGGCCAAGCCCTTCTGAGGTTTTTCATTCAAAGCTGGTTCCTTTGTTGCTCAACAATAATCGGAAAGGACTGGTAACAATTACCTTACAGGGCTTAGCTAGGTTACTGCCACTGTCGATCAGTCATGTGAAAATACTATTACTAGTGCTTGGCATGGATGGCCAATAATAACCTTTCATAAAGGGCACAAACATTTACTGCAAATGTGTACACACAAGTATTTATGAACAATTAAGTGATTCCCATAAAAACTGAAATATGTGAGTGATGATTTTAAGACCTACTGGTACAGTAATATTTCCTTCATTGTTAAGACAGGTCTCGTTTGTTTTGACATTGGTTTATATCATGTGATTCAGTATATTGCCGACAGTGATATACAGTGTATGAGAAGAAAAGCTTTACTATGTCATTGTATCTACTACACATTCAGAGTGTCATCACAAACAATAAAACAACCAATAGTCTGTATCATCTACATGTACCATGTCCACACTGCTTTAAGCTGATCCAT